TTCTCCCACCCAATCCCCCGTTTGTTGTAACGTCTGCCCCCAAAACCTGTAGTGCGACATTCCCAGCCCTCACCTTTCGTTTAGTCTGACTAAGAACATGTGATAATTGTTCCAAAATTCACGAGCACAGCTCGATTTTCCGAAGATCTTTCTTTTCATCGCATCATAACCTCTTACGCAGAAAGACTTCCAAGTTGTTAGCTCAGTTAGGTAAGCCGCAGTGCATGTCTTACTGGTCTTAACTGAGCTCCTTTGAAGTCGAACTCATGTTACGCATAAGCCGGCATTTCCCTAACGATAGTTCTTAGTTTGCTAACATCAGCATACTTCTAGCAGGCCCGACCATAGTTACTTTATCTCGTGTAACTATTCCCTTGAACATAATCCCGATCATATCTTATCTTATTCCACCATTGAAAAAAATCAGGTTGACGAACCCAACACTATGTTATGTAATAATTAATCGGATTCTCATCTATTTTACCTTCAGCGACCATGCTTACATTGCATCTGGGTTTTGGCAGATAGCGCAGGTTCTGGGAAACTGGAATAATTAACGCTTTTTGGCCTCTTTGTGAGCAAGTGAAAAAATATTTTCGTGATGAGGACGAATGAAGAACTAAATGATCTCTACAACACAGTCTGATGACATTTTCTGGAAGCTCTGATGTATTATTAAACAATGGTTATGCATATATATTTTGGTATAATCTAAGTGAACATAAATTGAATCAGTCTTTTCGAATGACAACAAATTTGGGATACCAACCTTCCAGAAGTACAATAGTCATTTTGGCTGGGTAAGGTTTAAACAGATTGTATTTGTTCCTTTAGTAATGGAAAAAGCAAGCAGAACATTTATTTAAAACACAAGGAATCAATAATTTTACCCTTACCATTTAAAATGCTTGGCACGTAGTTTTCAGAGGGTAATTCATCAAAAGATGGATCATAATGATGAGCTTGGGAATTCTGTACTATACACAGTAAGTTAAAGTACAAACCTGGATCAAAAGCCGTATAATGAAGCAATATTTTCTTCTCTTTGCGTACTTCACAGGCGAACTTTGCCCTTGTGCATAAAAATTTCTCTTTTTAAACAGTAATTTTCAAATACTTGGCAAAAGGAGAAATTTAAAACAGAGTTTCCCAGGTGCAAATTTGTAAACTGCAAAACAGCAGAATTTATTGGATCCATAAATTTCAGGAGCGCTCATCAGCTACTACCTCTCATTGCATAACATAAATGACATAAAAGAAATACAAAATTGAATTTATACGGTTGTCATAACCAGACCTATATAAACAGTTGGAGCATGTGGTTAACCTCGCTTTGTCCTGGTAAAACCTGGCTCCCAGATTTACACAGTCCCCTTCCCAATTTTTCTGCATTACACGTTTTGCCCCATTTTCGCTGCTCATTGTGTTTTAACTTTCCTACGTTATTGACTTACCTCTTGGCCAAATTTTATGACCTTGCCGTTTTCTGTCGATTTTTCTGTATGAATTCACTTTTTTATTTCTCTTAGGTAATTCATGTTATGCAATGAGAGGTAGCAGCTGATGAGCGCTCCTGACATTTATGGATCCAATAAATCCTGCTGTTGTTGCAATTTACATAAAAGGAGCAATGAATAGTTTTCTCGGAGTATTTAGTTCCTCGATTAACGTACGGCTAACTTCAGCATAACAGCCAATGACTAGTTTGCTTAGCTGGCCATACCCGTACCGTTGCCTTTTTACGGGGTTTAAATTTCCCCAGGAGTCCCCATACTTAAGTTTCTTGTAGCCACAGTGGCATGATATTTTTATCCTAACGACTAAGTAATCCCTGGTAGTTGAAATTTATCTGTCAAATTACAACAACTACTCACCCATCGTGCTTAGGAATTCCATGTAAAACTCAGAAGTTTGTTGCATAGATAGAAGTAATAAATGCAGAGAAAGATTACAGAAAACCAATCTGTGGCTCAATGTTCATAACTGTTAACTAACAGAACGCTGGTACGAACACGCGGGTGGTTATGGCTGTCCAATGAGAGTCAATAAACAAAAAGTATATATTCGTTTTTCCCTTGGCCGGAACTCGTTCTTTCGCTTTATTATTAACTACCCACAAACAAAAGCAGTCAATTCAGCAGGCTCAATTCCTCCATTTAAAAGAATTACTGGAACGAAAATTGCAAGAAAAGGCCGCCGACTCTTGCTTTAATAGACTTTATATCACAGAAAAAAGACAAGATTCATTGCTTACGAAGATGGAACATTTAAATATTGTAAAGCCTTATTGGTGACGATGCTGTCTCGGCGTTCAAGTTGAAGAACTGTGTACTTTTAATGGCTGCCTTAGACGGCCTTCGCCGAAAACCCAGCTTAAAGTACAAGCTAACGCAAGAACAAAGAATCTATTCATAAAGAACTATAATGAGATATCTATAAAGTTTATGTACCGAAAAAATAACATTTGGAAAACGATAACGCCATTGTCCTATCTTCGCTTTTAAATGGAAAACCAGACTTAAATATGTAAAGCTAAAACCTGTTAACATCACCATTGATCTAGAGTGTTTGAATTTCAAGCCATATTGACGACCATTTTTTAAATATTCTTTCAATATAAGAGTACAATGGTGTTGTAGGTGATGCATTAGGTACAGGTTTACCACCTAATGATAATTTATTTCACAATTTAGAGCAGCCTTATATTTCCATGCATTTCATTTTACCAGCTTATATCACGAAAAGTTAACCAATTAACTATTTTTGGGTTTTCGCTATTGAATTTTGATTGCTGCATTCTTATCCTAAAACTTGCGTTATCGGCTACTGAACATGGCAAATTGATTAAAGTTATTAACAGTCATATATAGGTATTCATATGGTCTTGAAGACTAGCAGACATGTTATAGTTCATAGGGTTTTGGACTTACTGGTACATATTTTCCTCAACAAAATTCAACGTTCCCTACCATGCATTCGTATACTTTCCTATGGAGACTTTTGTGGCAGTTTACAACTGATCAGAAATAAATAGTGCATTTTAAATAAGGTGTTTATAATACTGAGGTAATAATTACAATTTCTTTCATATTTCCGAAGATGTAGGCGTTTTTGAATGTAATTCCACCACTCAGGATTAGCGAAAATGGTACACGTGTAAAATCTGCAAAATAACCGCCTGTGCATACTTTTTAATATTTGTTGTTTACGAAAGGGAGGAATTAACCCAAATCAAATAAATAGGTCTTACATCTTCCATGGTTCCTTTTCGAATATAATTCATCAAGTTAGTGGAAAAATAACCATTTATGGGTCTGCATGTGGTCGATCAGATAAAAGCCCATAATGATGATATATTTAGACCTACAACCTCGGACTGGAATAAAGTGTTTTTTAAAACATATTTTGAGCTCCTAGTTGGCATAAACACGGAACGGCAAATTAAATTTAGTCTCCATCTGAACACGACAGGAGAATAGGCATACTCAGCGAACGTAGCTCTAAACACAAACAACGACTGAAAACAGTAAATAAGTAAAATTCTGCTAACCTTTATTACAACCAACAAATACAGATATTTAACCTCGCTACTCCTATTTGTGACGGTCTCTGATGATGTAGAAGCCGTCAGAGTGATCAAAGTGAATATTCGAATCGTCAGGCGATTAAAGCTTTTATTGAACCTTTTTTCCACATAATTTCTGTGTTTCTCACCACCTTTTTCAGGCCGTTGAAATAAAAGTGGAAACTTTCGAAAACAAGTCACTCCTTGCATTCACCTGCCTGCACGACACTATATCTCTGGTTCGCAATACTCTGGACACTTTGTGCTCACAACTCTTCCTCTCAAACTACCTTCTGGCCTTCGCGGAGACTGAAGATGGTGGAGTCTGCAAGGAGATAATATCACACCCAGCGCTCTTCCAACTGTTGCATAACGAAGAGACTGAGAAAACGGAATCTCTTCTGGACGCGTCGTTGAGGTCTGCAGGCGCCGGAGACACTGCATCCCATTCGGCATTTCTTTTAAAAAACCTCTTTTTACAGAACGCGCACTTAGCTGCGGGATGCATCTATGGGGAGAAAATTCCGGCCTCATGGGTGCGATACGAGATTTTCCTCCAAGTATGCACTACCCTCGGTAAAAATGATGGCATTGACTTCGCTCAGATTCGTACCCTCTCTGACCAGTTGGGCGTGAGTGAAGAGGTTAACGAAAAGCTGGCGAACGACCTCAACTACGTCCTCCTCCTAAATGCTCTGCTGCGTATTCTCATGAAATGGCGAACTTTAAAGGAGGCCAGCGTTGGAGAACTGGTAGAAGCCTTCCGCAAAATTAACCAATATTCTATTGCAACACAGATTATTGAACAGCTTCCGGTGTTTATTCTTCGTGATGACGGTTGCGGAACTGAACAACAGGCCAATTAGGACTACATGCTGCGATTAATGGATGGATGAATGCTTAGTCAAGATTAAAATCCTCTGGTGAACATTAGAATTGCCTTCTTTATCCTGGTTTTCATACTGCCCTCTCACAGAGACATTCCATTTTTCTTCCCTAAAATGAAGCCCAAATCTTCAAGCTCACATTGATCACCGTCTTATTTATATCTTTTTCAATAAACAGAAGCATATTCGGTTTGAAATGCCCTGACATTCCGTTTGGACTATTGGTGTGATATTCAAGACCACATTCGATCTATTTTTCAGATTTCTTCCCCTCTACAGGATTTTTAGGAAAATGAGGCTTTCATAGGTTTTACACACTGGAAACAAACTTATGAAGGTGCCTTCTTAAATCACCGAGTGCATTTAGGAGAGCGCAGTTTTAAACGCAACCGCACATTTGCAACTTTAAATTTAATCAGTGCTTGGAATTACTATTTCTCTAACAATACACATTAGATACTTGAGGTCATGAAATCTCATAAAATACCACAAGTAACTGTATTTAAAGCAGGATCGATACAGGGTTCATCCTCGAAAAGCTTACAGCAGTATAGGAACAACTGTTCTTAAGAAGAAGGCCTAATGTGGTTTCCAAATTAACTATTTTCTTATAAATACTCCTAAAAAGTGGAATGTTCCAAAAGTGTGATAAATAGGTGTCCTTCACTAAAATGTACAGGAGGTTTGCTCATGAAAACAACAGAGCAAATACAGCACCGCTTGTATTCTAACGTTTGAAAATTGTCCTTTTTGTGAATTTTCCAGAAACAATTATTTATATTACGCGCAACGTAAATTATGGCCGTCCAAAACAACCTAACGCTCATGGATCTATTCGCCAATGGCTTCAGAAAACGTGATAGTATTTTTTAAATGTGTACATTGTCTGAGAGGCGCAAAACTGATGCAAATAACGATTCGCTTGATTGCGAAAAAAAGGAATTAATATACCTCATGAACTTACTTGTTGATAGGCCGGTCACTGGCATTTAAATTTAAATAGAAATGTCAGGTGAAATCGTAAAATGGGTATTAACAAATGCTCCTTTGTCAAATGTAGGTATAGTTATTTTGGATGTTAAATCGCGATAAGATTCAAATCGCTCTTGAAACAGTGGCTAATACTGTGCAATTTTGCAGTGATTCCAATAGAGTGATAATTAATGTATGCTCTCGAATGAATGTGAAAGTTCGCATTCCAGGTGTTTTGATGAATAAAGAAGAAGGCTGATCTAGAACCGTAACAGACGGTTCCGTTAATATATATTCTCTTCTGTGTGCTTATTAAAATCTTCAACATAAAATAAGTTGTCAAAGTACTAAGCGAAGTAGTGGAGTAATGGACAATAACTACAATGCAGAGATTTCTTTGGGTCCTACGTGTAGACTCAGTCAAACATAAAACTTCATAGTCCAGCAAAACGAACCTCCATAAAAACGTTGGCAACAAATATTCCGTAAATAAACTCAAAAGTAGATAATAAGATATCTCTTAAAAAGTGCGCTTTAGATTGTTATTGCACTGAAAGGTTTCTGTGTGTTTTAACTTTTTTCAAGATACATTCAAGGCAAAAATTTGGGCATTTTGTTCACTGCTGACAACGAGAGACCTGACCTTATTATGTTGAAGTCTTTTGCATCATAGTCTTTACGCTTAAGCGCCATTCTAAGATTGTAAATGTGCAACACCCATATAAATAGTAAGATCTCACCCCTCTTTTTCTTCTTCTGGAGCAGATGGACACGATATTAACATACATGCGTATGGATATTACCGATGAAGACAATGGAGACTAGGCTAACCAGTTCTGGCGTACCGAACGTCGTCAGCAGCGTGCCTCGAGATGGGGCCTCAAAGGCACAAGGGGCGGATGAGTGTGTCCTGTAACTGATCAGTGTGCGCCTAGCTGCCAAAATACAGTTTTGCGAATCCTGCAAACAAATTTCAGGACGAAATTTAACTTGATAATTTAGCGTATATCTGGACAGGTTGTTTTGATCAACTGAGTGGATTTAATAATAAGAAGCGCTTTGGTTTGGAAAACTCCCTCTAATCTAAAGTTATTGGGGCAAATAGGCTCTCATTTTTTTAAAATCATGAGTATGTTGATATAAAAGGAATTCCGTATGCTATAAGGGAAGAAAAGGACAAAACTTTCTTCTAATATACATTGTGCTAGAGAAGAATTCCATAATTAGTAAAAAAAAAGGTGGAATAATAATCCATTCCAGCACTGAAAAAGTTTGTGCCAAGTTGACCAAATGGAACTAAAGCGAAGTTTAAGGAATCGCATTTATTTTCA